AGAGCGCCGCGCGGCTTCCTCGTCAGATGAGTTACACGCATGGAAGATTTACGAAGAGAAAAAGAAAGAGTGAGAGGAGGGAGGGGAGGGAGTAGAAGGAGAGAGAAAATCTACATTTCCTCTTTCTTTCCTTTGCCTCCCTTTTTCGCGCTCCTTTCCTTTGTGTGTAGGTGCATTTTGGATTTAAACGCGCGTTGCTTTAGTCAATCGCAAAGTGTCTGACAGAAAAATCTGAATTTCTTTCGCTTTTCGTAAGTACATTTAGATATTTAAAGATTATATTTAGATAATTAGAAATTATATTAATAACAAAAAAAACCAGAACCGTGTCTCACAGTTTTAAAAAAATTGATTAAAACTAATTTTAGTGCAAATTAGCAATTAGACAAGATAGCTATCTATACGTCGGATTTTTAAAATCCTTCGCATTTCTTCCTATTTCCTAAAATGCACTTTGTGCGCTATGGCCCCCGATCTTTTATAACGCCAGCATTTTACTGCGTTACGGCGAGACGCAGCAGCCGAGCTCGATCCGGCGGCGAAATTACTTAAACTTTATTACGCCATAACGCACCGCCGACGAACCCCAAAAGTTTTAGATAAGCATCGGCGATGCGACCGACCATCCCGGAACATTTCCTCAACGATCAATCCCAAGGAAGACTCAGTATACCCGGTGTCTTCCTCGTGCCTCTGCAAACTCGACACCGTAGTTCTTTTATGTCCTTATACCAATTTTTTTATCCAGAAAGTTTCTGTAACTGTAAATAAATACCTGATAAAAGACGTTCTCTTTCGAAGTTCTCTGTCCGCCATTTGAAATTGATTCTAAGAATTCGATCTCAAATAATCGACTGGGGTTTAAAACATGCATGCCATCTTGTTCGGCATAAAAAGTTGTGAAGAATTTTAAAAATATTCTCCCGAACGTTCCTGAAATATTTAAAGTCAAATTCAACAATCTTAAATATAAGAATGACAAGTAAATATCAGTCTAATATTCATTTGTGCAAAAATGTAGATTAATTTTTATCTCGATTTAACTTACTTTTTATCTTCTTTTAGTTCTATGATTTAGAAAAAAATACAGAGTAAATTAAAGTCTTCTATTTATTCCTAAATATGACAAGTCAAATTTTTTCCTTTCAAATCCCATAGAAATCTATGGTCATCTAGAAAATAAATTTTATTAATTCTTTATAACTTTTTATTAATTCTGAACGGTACATATTTCATTTAAAGCCGAGTTGACCCCACCCCTCCCCCATTTGAGGTCGCGTCCTCGCAAGATGTGTCGCAAGAATTATATACTTCGCGTTATAACGGTCGTTAATGGCAATCCTGAACATTGTCATCGTCGTTGTCGTCGTGGTGGCGTCACTGTGGATGGCAATGGCGAGTGTTCAGGCGTTGCGCCGCCGGCGTATCCAGAAACGCTTTCACGTCGCGGAAGGCAGAAGCGACGAAACGCGTTCGCGTCAGTGGGGATACGACGCGCGGTTTATTATCATTTTATTCGTGGATGCTCCGCGCGCGTGAGATGCACCGCGTTACAACCCGTCGTCGCCGCCGCCGCTTCATCCACCCTCCTTTCGCTATCCTCCCTGCCGCCCACCCTACCCCGCCACTGCCATTCCCGCGGCGCGGCGTGGCGCGCCTCGGGTCGTAATCCCCCTTTTCTAGATTCTTAAACCGAGACCCCGAACTACGGGTCGCTCTCGCGCGACACGGGGAACGTTAAAATTTAAGGTTTCCGTCGACACGTCGCGACTCATAAATTCCCGCGCTCGAATCCGACGCTGGTTTTTCCTACCTTCTTATCGCCGCTGCCGCCGCCGCATTCCCCCGTCACGATTCTCCTCCTGCCGTTTTCGCCGCCGCTGCCGCCGCCGCCGCCGCCGCCGCCGCCGCCGCCGACGACGGTGACAAATTATTCGCGCGTCGACGTCGCGCGTTCCAGAAGCGCGACGTTTCCTCGCGGATCGACGTTTCCTCGCGAAAAACGTCATTTTTATCTCCCGAAGCAATTCCTTATTTGCATCCGAGTCTTTGTGCACTCTCCCAGATGTTGAGTACGTTTAACTGCCGATTTCGCGTAAATGAGCGATACCTATGGTGAACATGTTTTAATAAGAAAACAAAGGACAAATCTGAAAATTTTAAAGCTTTATTCCTACACGTTTTCAAAGCAGTTTGTGTCAGGAATCTGCACATTATAAAATTTTTTTGTCATAGTATACCATAAAATGAGATACTATGATAGTTTGAAACTGGTTCAACTGTTGGAACAATTGATTTAAATTTGGAACAGGTTCGGAAAAATGAAAACGAATTTAATCTAAAGTTTTAATTAAAAAAAAAATTAAAAATATAATTAACGCGAGGCAAATTATGTATATATTTTATTTCAAAAATTTACTCATCAATATGACATTAGACATTGAAACTACTAATTAGAAAAGATTTTACCTATAAATAAAGAACAAGTAAAAGAGTTAAAAGAAAGGACAAAATTGAATTATTTTGAGAAAATAAATCAAAAAGATAGAAAGGATTGTCCTTTAGAATAAAGGATACGTATGATTGTAGTAGCGATACCACCCCTCGAGGGATAATGAGATCAAGAAAACGAAGGACGAAGGACGATAGGATTGGATTATAAAGACACGTATTGATTCCGAACAGATTAGACTTTTAATTTGTCTTTCGTGACTGACGACGTTCGACGGTCGAACGCGCGTTGCAGAATATCGACCGGTCTTGATTTCCTCAAATTCGAATCTTCGAACTCGCAGCTTGGAAAATTTGTACACACGCGCGTCTACGTTCAGGTCGTACTCGTGCCTGGCATGCCCGCGATATCAGCTTTCGAGCGAAAAATGCTGCGCGTACAGTTTTTGTTGAACCCAGGTTTTCCGCGGTTAAAACAATTCTCCTGCTTGCCAAAGAAAGCTCGTACAAAGGAATTTTTTCGGAGCAAAGAACTTCTCTTTTTTTCGTCACAGAGAACATTTTCTTTTTCTAAGCAAGCGGGACTTTTCAGCGGGAGAGAACAATTTTTCGCCGTTGTCGTTTCTCTCGCTGTCTGTCGCTTTTAAGGGAACCGCTGACGTTGCGACATAACGTTCAAGAAATTTATTCCCCGTACAGGAAGACACAAGCGATTCGCGAAATTTCCGAAGATTTCCCATATCATGAGTCACAACATTGAGGCGATATTTCGGTCGGCGAGCGCGATGCGTGCTGTCATCTGCCAGCAGCTGACTGCAACGCGAGCTGGAACGACGTCTCTGTATTTATCGATTGGTAATTAAAGGAACATTAAATATTTTAATTAAAACGACGCGCATGTCATTTTGTAAATTTTTTTTTGTAAATTTTAAACACAAGAAAGAATCGTTCGGATGTTAGCGTCTTAATTAATAAAATTATAATTTTAAACAATATAATTGTTGAAATACGCAAATTAAAAAAAAATACTTAGAGAGAAAATGAGGGATTATAAAGAGAACGCGCCGTGTACTGTCAACAATTTATTTTGTATCTTTTTTTTATTTTGCTAAGTTAAGTCGGAATGTTAAATGAAACGCTCATCTCACATAGAACTCTGCGCGAGAACTCATTCGTAGACTTTTATTCGTAGGTAACGAATACGCACTAAAAGTGGTATATATAAAAAGAACGTCTGCTGACGTAGAACAATCGTCGTCAGGATCATCGATAATGTCATCGTTGTCGCGATGGCGAACGAATCGTTCGAAATCGTATTTTCTTTTTTTTTTTTGTTCTCTTGCCAGCTGGGAACAAAAAACAATATACGCAGTCTCATGGCCGATAACGCAATCCCTGCTCTCGCTTAAAAATTCAATGATTTGGGAATGATTTCGAATGCACACCAATGAATGCGAAAATTCAACCCATCTCAAGATTGTCTCTTTTCTTTTTCTTCTATCGCCAGCCACATATCATTTTCGCATCGCGTCGAATTTCGCTGCATTTGCCCGCCTGCGGCGACAGCGTTAATTAGATTGAAGGGAAAATCAAATCACCTCGCAGTACAATAAAGTCTTTATCCTTATATATAAAAAAAAAACCGTAATTTAATTACAAAGTCAGAAGTTGCGTGTGAAAGATCACCGCGGGATTCTATGCGAAAATTAGGCCGACAATAATTACAAGAATATCCTTTCTTTTTCCCTTTACAAAATTATGACGTCAATTATATATTTGAGTTTCTCTCTATGGTATCTATATAAAAAAATATCTGCTCGAAACTACGTGTCGGACCACGATAAACGAATCGATTTACAGGAGAGAGAATAAAAATATTAATGATCGGGATTACATAGAGCGCCCCGTCATTACTAATTAATGAATTAACGCACTAATGACCCGGGCGCTCCGTATATCAATCTATCGATGGTCGTGTCAGCTATCAAAAATTTACAGGGGCTATAAAAATAACGTCTACCCGTCCCAGATATCTCTTTATAGGTCTTAATCGCGATCTTTGTGCCCGCTATGTGTTAAGGAGTTATGATAGCAAACGTACACATCACTACCAAGCAACAATACGTAACGAGTTAATACTGTCATCCGCGACATCTGTTACAATTTCTCGCATCGCCGAAAATTCCAAGCGATCCGTATGACAATTGATTATACATATTTTCAATTCGACATATATATTCTTCGCGTTTGATTCATTCGATCGCTTCGCGTTCGTACGGCACGACACAGCTAACACGTTCACCAAGAAAAAAA